CCCCCCTTTTTTTAATTGAATCACCAGGAGATACAGAGTTACAAAGTTGTTCATGGTCAGATGTCAGTCATACAGTATGTCAACAGCCATCCCTCTACCAATGTATATTTCCCACCACCAATGTCCCCTTCCCACCAGTTTCTCTTCTGCTACTGTCTACCTAGCCTGTCTCTATGGCAGATACTTTCTGTCTCTGTCTCTCTTCTTCCCCCCTTCCTTTTCTCCTTTCCTCCCTCCCCACCCCCTCCCCACCTGCCTTTTGGGCATTATGCTTTGCAATACAGATACTGAGAGGTTGTCATGTTTGTTCCTTTACCAATTTTCAGTATCACTGTCCTCCCGTTCATCGATTTGCTCGAGCGGGCCCAGTAACGTCTCCATTAGAGACTTTGTTGTTACTGTGTTTGGCATATTGAATACGTCACAGGTAGCTTGCCAGGCTCTGCCGTGCGGGCGAGATACTCTCGGTAGCTTGCCGGGCTCTCCGAGAGGGGCAGAGGAATCGAACTCGGGTCGGCCATGTTGGCTGCATGCAAGGCAAACGCCCTACCACTGTGCTATCGCTCCAGCCCACCAATTTTCAGTATACAGTTCTTATTCAGAGCGACGATAGTGGCTCCTTTTCTATCCCAACTGCCTTCTCCCCCAGCACTTGAGGCAGGCTTCCAACCACGAACCAATCCTTGTTTCTACTGTCCTTGAGTATTAGTCTCATAGTATGTTTTTTTTTCAATTCCACAAATGAGTCCAGTCATTCTGTGTTTACCCCTCTCCTGACTCATTTCACTCAGCATGATATTCTCCACATTCATTCATTTATAAGCAAATTTCATTACTTCATTTATTCTAACAGCTGTATAGTATTTCACTGTGTAGATGTACCATAGTTTCTTTAACCAGTCATCTGTTATCAGGCACTTGGTACGTTCCCACAGAGACTGGCACATATCAAAAAGAACAACTGCAACCAAAGCTGGCATGGATGCAGGGAGAAATTGTTAATTGTTAGCGAGAAAGCCAACTTATTTAGCCTTTTTGGCAAACAATATGGGCATTCCTCAAAAGCTAGGGATTGAGATTCCATACAACCCAGCAATACTGTTTCTGGGAATATACCCCAGGGGCCCAAAAACAGCACAAGTGCCATCTGCACTTCTTTGTTAATTACAGCACTATTCACAGTAGCCAGAATCTGGAAACACCAACAGCCTTCTTTTGCTGCCTAGGCTCAAATCATCAGAGGCTGGTACCCCAGCCCTCTCCTAGGGCACTAGCTAAAGGTTTGGATCCAATCTTCTGTGTTAGATCTCCTTATCTAAACCTGACAGAGACTGACAACCCAAGAGCTACCTTTACCTCCCTTTAGAGGGGTGGGAAGTAACTCAAGGCAGGAAAGTTTGGTTTGGTTTTGATATGGGCAGGAGGGTGGTTTTTTTTTTTTTCAGTTTTTTTATCATTTGGTTTGGGCCCACACCTGACTGTGCCCAGAGGGGACATGAATGGTGCCAAGGATCAAACCCAGGTCAGCTACATACAAGGCAAGCACCCTACCATGGCAGGAAAGATTTGAGATACAGCGTGGTGTGGGAGAGAACCTGGGTCACTGATAAGAGAAGCAAGCAGGACTGGCCACTCCTGAGAGCTGGGGTGGGAGATGGTTTCTTCTGGGCTATTCTTGGGAGGGGAGAAGACGAGAAGGCTCAGAAGAACTGAGCCAAGTCCCAAGTGAGGGACGGGGACAGGTGAGTGCCAACCTGGCAGCATGAAGCACAGATGGGTCAGAGATTCCAGAAGAATGGGGGACAGTGCTGGCTGCAGCACCATGGCCATCACCCAAGAAGGATCTGAATAGTCGTGAATTCATGCATTTGACAAATCTAGTCTAAGGCCTTACCACATTAAGGAGCCGGTCCTGTCTTCAAATGTGCAAATCTCAGAAAACAGTGACTTAAACACATGCCTGTGTTTAACCCCAATAGGACTCGATGGAAAACCCCATTGCTGTGAGAGGATAAGGTGGGAAAGCCCGGGCACACTGCCTAGGGTAGAACTGCCAGCACGTGGACAGGTGCTGCTCCAGAGGGGTTAAAATGGTTGGTACTGTCCTAGGTGACACAGAGACTAGGATGTAAGATTTTAAAATGGGAGAAAAAATAAGCCAGCCCTGGTCATCTAAAGCCAAGTGACTAAAAAAAAAAAAAACCTGCACTGTCCACTGTCCTCTCATTGTTCATTGATTTGCTCAAGCAGGCACCAGTAACATCTCCATTGTGAGACTTGTTACTGTTTTTGGCATATCGAATACACCACGGGGAGCTTGCCAGGCTCTGCCATGTGGGTGGGATACTCTTGGTAGCTTGCCGGGCTCTCCAAGAGGGGCAGAGGAATCGAACCCGAGTCAACCACAGGCAAGAAAACGCCCTACCAGCTATGCTATCACTTCAACCCAATAGTAATAATAAAACCAAGTGACTGCTGAGAGAGGAAATGGGACAAAACCGGTGACTGATTTCCAGGGCCACAGTTGGCCTCCACGGGGCGGGGAGTCAGGCTGCAGCACCACCTCAAGAGCCTGCAGGCCAGAGTGGGTTTCTGCTTGCTAGGAACATGGCAGTTTTATTTATTTGGGAGGGGGGCGTACCTTACAGAGCTCAGGGTCCATTCCTGGAGGTGCCCAGAAGACTGGGTGTCCAATCAGGGTCAGCTGCATGCCAGGTCAACAGTCCAGCCCATAGATGTGGTGGTTTTAAGGCAGTGCCCAGACAATGCCTGCTGGAACATGCCAGGACTGGCTTCTAATGCCCTAAGCCAGCACTGTGCGAGTTCTGACAGCTGGCCCGGCCTACTTACATTCCATTCATTCATTCAGTACACTTGACTTTTTCACCCCGTAACAAGATGCCATCAGATCTTGGAGGGATGCAGGCCCCAAGGGTCATAGAGCATCATGGGAAAAGAATATCCCGTTCTGTGGGAAGAGAGTTCAAGGACATATCTGGGGCTTAAAAAAATACTGGAAAAGAGTCTTCTGTAGTTTTACCTAGGTCTTCTCATTAAGACCTGGAAAGAGTGGGGTTCACGGAAATGTGGCATGGCAGAGCCAGTTTGATCCCCAGCACTACACAGTCCCCCGAAGCAGGCACACCCTGGGGAAGCCCCTGCGACACTGGACCCTGTGAGCCTCTGGTCAGGTTGACTGAGAATTGCAGGAGGGAACCCCTGGGCCCTTAAGCATTAAATGGGAAACTCTGCCAGTTGCTAAAAAAGGACCCAGAGGGAGGCTGAGTCCACCCGCTGAGCAGCAGAAGCAGCAGAGTCGCTGGCACTGGGGAGCCTTGTAGTTGCTTTCTAGGAATTCGACATGTCCATGATTTGGAGATCTGCGGGGGACCTGGGCTAGCCCTCGGGGAGTTTTCATTCTCTCTCTCAGTCACCAGCCTCCAAGAGAAGAAAGCGAGTTCCACAGGATCTTGGCAGCCTGGAACTCAAGTCTGAGACTCAGGTGATGAATGTAAGAATCCTGCATCAGATACTAGGGCCGTCTCAAGGTGAAAAGGGGAAGCAGTTCTGATGCTACTTGTGCGCTGGTCAAAGCTCCCTGGAGGCTGGGGAGAGACCTCAAAGGGCTGGGTCGGAGCACACTTTGTCCTGGGGAGGCCCAGATTCCATTCCCGGCATGCCTGCGTCCCCAAGCACCACCACGAACAGCAGCTGAGCACCAGCTGATGAGGCTCAAAATCGATTTGCTCGAGCGGGCCCAGTAACGTCTCCATTGGAGACTTTGTTGTTACTGTGTCTGGCATATGAGCGATAGCACAGCGGGTAGGGCGTCTGCCTTGCACGCAGCCAACATGGTCGACCCGAGTTCGATTCCTCTGCCCCTCTCAGAGAGCCCGGCAAGCTACCGAGAGTATTCGATTCGATATTCGAGGCTCAAAATAGACAAGCAAAAGGCTAGCGGGGCCATTTTCCCAGGATGCTCCTCCTATAGGTGGTGGAGTGACTGAGCTGGGCCAAGAGCAGATGCCCTCTGAGCTGTAAAGCAACAGAGCTAAGACCTCCAAGGAACATACTAGGACAATTTTTTCTGCTAGGAACAAAGAACTGACAATAGCTGTCCCAACAAGGGTCAATATTTCTTGGGGGGGGGGGGAGGCTGAGCTCCTTAGTACAACTGGGGACACTGGACAGGCCATGTGGGAGTCTGTGGGGCTGCAGAGAGCAGCAGGCAATCACTCTGGCTCCCAGCACTGTGATTGGACTTTCATTTCTATGCTCACCTAAGTGTCCACTAGGTGGTGAGGGTCTGTGCCTTGCTGAGGACCCATAACCCTCCTGCCACCCCAGACCACACCCACAGGCACATACTGGAGGCCAGTCCCAGGGTCTCTGGGTCCTCACACAGGCATGGGGCTGCCCACAGGCTGTCCTGGCAGACTGACCCTACATAGTCAGGTGTCTGCGTACCACGCCCTGGCCAAGAGCATGGGAGCATGGAGAAACTCCCCAACCCGCCCCACCTGCCCTGACAGCGGAAGACATCCAACAGGAAAGCAGCCCTGCGGGGGCCTGGACACCTCCATGTCTGGTCCCTACACCCGCCCCCTCCCCCTGCCCCCCTTGGGGCGCCCTTGGAACCCAGCTACTTCTGGGTTCCACTCACCCTTTTTCTACCCTATCCCTGGCCTGCCCTGCTCCTCACAAGTGGGTGCGGCTGCTCTTCCCTACCCCCACCTTTGCCAAAGGTTCTCCGCCAGACTTTGAGGACAGGCTTTGGTCAGGGATGCGTTCTGGGGCGGCAGCCGGGCCAAGAAAAATCCAGGGACTCCCGCGCTGTGCACCCACTCTTTATTTATTGCTGTTAGCCCAGGCCCAGGGCCTGCCTGGCCGGGGAGGGGCGGTCCTGGGGAGCTCCCCACTCTCTGTGGCCAGCGAGCGAGGCCTCAGCGTGCTCTGGCCGAGGTCAGGGCCCGCGGCGGCGGCGGCAGTGGGGGGGCGCGGAGCCCTCGGAGGGCGTCGGGGCGCAGGCTGGGCAGCACGCACGGCCTGGTGCGCAGCGCTTAGCCTTTGGTGTCGCCGGCCGGGGCCTCCGGGCAGAACTCATCCATGAACTCGAGGAAGTGGCCGAACTTGCGGCCGTCGCCCAGCCCGTGCCGGGCCTGCGGCTGGCTGTTCTGGAACACGGAGCGCAGCGAGGTGTGCACCAGGCGCTGGTAGCGCGCCCGGAACTCCTTCAGCAGCCGCTTGGCCTCCTGGAACTGCTTCTGGTTCATCAGCCGCTGCTCCGTGCGCCGCCGCAGGATCGCCCCTGCAGGGACAGACGGACGGACGCCCGGGGTCCTCAGCCTGCGCCCCTCCCGCATGCACGGGCAGGGAGGGCGGGAACCCAGAGCTCCTAAAGCCAGAGGGGCGCTGGCCTTGCACGACCCGACCCGGCACCCCACACAGTCCGCCAGCCCCACCAGGAGTGGCCCTGAGCCGGAATTAGGTGTTAAATTAAACAAACAAAACAAAACACACGGAAAAAGACAAAACCCAAGCGGCCTCTCCTGACTGGGCCTTGGGAGCCCGCTTGCAGGGGCCCCTTCTGCATGCCTCCCGCTCTGCTGTGAGACCAACAGGCCCTGCACTCCCCGGGCCTCGGTTTCCCCACCTGCACCCAGGAAGGGCAGCAGCTCCCTGTTCTGACCCGGAGCTCACAGATCTTGGGCCCAGTGGTACCTAGTGGAGCCTCTGTGATGTTCCGGGGGTCTCGCATGCGGATGAGGAGCTCATCCAGCAGCTGCGCCCGAGTCTTCCTGGGGGGCGGCAAAGGGAGCCTCTGGGCCTGACAGAAGTGGAGGGAGAGAGAGGGTCATCCCATCTGCTCACACTACCCAGGCCTCCCCCTTTCTAAGTCATAGTAGGTTCCCTAGAGGTGTGGGGAAAGCGCACCCTTTTGTAGGGCTCCTGGTCGGGGTGCCACTAGATGGAGTGGGGTTACCTTTCTCTCCTTGGGGACAAACGGCTTCTGGAGGGGGTCTAGCTTGGGCCTGTTGGAGCGGTACACGATGGGGTGCTTCAGCATGCGCTGCAGAGCCTGCGTGTTCTTCTGGATGCCTGCAGCGGATGGGGGGGGGGGGGCGGGGAGCAAGGCTGTGTGGCTGAGGCTGGCGCTCTGTGCCACCTGCTTTATCCCCAGCTCCTCCAACTCAGTAGTGCCCCCCTCCCCATCTGCGCTTCTGCCAGTGATGCTTGCCCCTCTCTGAGCACAGAAGCAAAGGGAAAGTGGCGGAGACCAGAGCCATAGTCCAGCAGGGAGGGCGTCTGCCTCAATCAAGGTGGCTAAACTGCCTTGAGCCCCGGCACGGCATGGAGTCCCCCAAGTACCACCAGGAGGGATCCTTGAGTGCAGAGCCAGGAGTAAGCCCTGAGCACAGCTGTGTGTGTGCCTCCAACACACACACACACACACACACACAAAGGAAAGGCTCTGTAGGGAAAGGGCCCTCACGTAACTCCATCAACTTCAGAGCCCGACATCCTGAGTGCCCAGCTGAGGGCCATGCAGGAGGCAGAAAGAGCAGCACAGGTGGAACCCGGGTGTCGGGGAGGGCACTGCCGCCCAACCCCTGCCCCACTCCAGCAGTGGGAGACAGATGACAGTGCCATCAGGGGCTTCTCTGGGCTGGAGGGAGTTCCAAATCCAGTCCCTCCTGGAGACTTGTGCAGCCTTCGCAGGGGCTCAGGCTGTGACTCCGCAGCCCTGGGCTGTGCTCTCCTGGTGGGACAGACAGCGAGGAGAGTCCCCAGGCGCTGGCTCTTCCCCTCACGCACCCTTGGGCTCCGAGAAGGTGGGATCCGACTTGGCTGACAGCAGCTCTTCGTAGCCCCGATACTTGCTGGGGAGGGAGGCAGATGAGGCCTTCTTCATCTTTGGCTCTTGGGGTAATTTGGGGGAGGTGCTCTCTGAGGTCCCCCGCCGGAGAATAGAGGAAGGCAGCCCGCTCACCTGTGTGGGGAAGAATACTACCATCATCCCTCCAGGAGGAGGCCAAGACCACATAGTTGCATCATCCCCGGGCAAGGAGTAAACTCCGGGCCCCTGGAGGATGGTTCTGGGTGAGGCAGCAGGAGTCTTCTGACCCAGCTCAGGCCACTAGGAAGCTTTCTGAAGGAAGTAATGCCTGAGCCTGAGTCTGAAAACCCCGGGGTGCAGCACAGGCGGGGGGGTGGTGAGGGGTGGGCTGCTCACGGTGAGAAAGGATGGTGGCGGGCAAGGATGGGCATGGGCACGGGACACAGGGGAGACAGTAGGGAGATGTTGGGGAGCCCAACACTGGTCTGATCAGAGCGCACCACCGAGGGAGGGGCTGCTGGAGCGGAAAACGGGGCCCACAGTGAGCACTTTGTTTTGGGGTCACATCTGGCAGGGATCGGGGCTTACTCCTTGTTCTGTGATCAGGGATCACTCCTGGTGGGGTTTGAGATGGGATGCTGGGGATTGAACCTGGGTTGGCCGCATACAAGGCAATGCCACCCTGCTGTACTATGGCTCCAGTCCCAATAAGCACTTTTAAGTGCCTCCGAGCTTATGTGGCTTGGCTTATATTGTATTTAATTTTCCTTCACCCTGAGAGCAAGCCATGGAGTTTGCAGGATCTGAGCCAACAGTCTGCACTCACATTTTCAGCCTCCCTTATGACCTGGTAAGAAAACTTCTTAAGGAGCCTGTATTTCATGCACAGAAGTAGTTTCCTTTATGGAAACTGAGGACTGACTAAAGAGGAAGTACACCTGTAAGAAATGAGACTGCATTAGTCTTTCAAACACACCCCACAAGGGAGTTTTTAATCCAAGGATGTGCTACTTTAAGCAGCAAATTCCACCTAATAATTCAGGAAGCACTAACACCAACTCTTCACACTTTTCCAAAATCTAGAAGAGGGGGCACTGGAGAGATAGCACAGTGGGCACTTGGCTAACCCATGGTCCCCTGAACCTGAAGGAGTAATCCCAGAGTGCAGAGCCAGGAGTAAGTGCTGAGCACCGTTGGTGTGGCCCCACTGTCCAAAAAAATCTCAAAAAGGGAACAACTCTACCCTTCCCAACTCATTCTCTGAGATAAAGCACCCTGGAACCCAGCTAGGGAAAGGTATGATGACAAAAAAAGGATGACTATAGCCTATTACCCTCTTATGAATACAAACACAAAACTCCTAAAGCTCCTTCCAAAACTCCTCCCTAGCAAGCCATGATTAAAGTGGGATTTATCCCCAGAATATAAGATTGGCTTCACACCTGGAAATCAGTTAATACCCTATCTATAAAGCACCAAGCCCACTTGGATCATCTAAATCAATATAGGAAAAGATTGGACAAAATCAAGCACCCATTCATCTCATAAAACAATCACCCAACAAATGAGTAGAAAGGAAACCCCTCAACCCAATAGAGGACTTCTACGAAAAACCATCACTCAGTGGTAAAAGACTGGAAGCTTTCCTCTAAGACCCAGGGTGACAATAAGAGTATCTTCTCTTGCCACTTTAGTCAACACTGTTCTGGAGGGCATAGCCTGGCCAATTAGAGAAAGAAACGATCATTTTCTGGACTCTGTGACTCATATTTGATTTTACTGTGTGCATACTAGGAAGCTCAGAATTGCATTTTGGGAATATACCCCTCTCGTGAGCTGGAGCAATAGCACAGTCAATAGGGCGTTTGCTTTGCACGCAGCCAACATGGCCAACTTGAGTTCGATTCCTCCGCCCCTCTCGGAGAACTCAGCAAGCTACCGAGAGTATCTCGCCCGCACGGCAAAGCCTGGCAAGCTCCCGTGACATGTTTGATATGCCAAACACTGTAACAAGTCTCACAATGTTACTGGGCCCGCTCGAGCAAATCGATGAACACCGGGAGGACAGTGACAGCGACAGTGACCTCTCTCATGAGAGTCCCAGTGCTAGGCATGTGAGTGAAAGAATGACCTTGGGCTTATTTCCTTGTCTGTCTATATTTCCTTTTATCATATTCTCACTTATTGATTTTTTATTCTCATTGTTTTTTCTCTGTTATAAAAAAAGATCTGATAGAGTAGCTCAAACTGAAGCTTTTTTATATTCTATGAATTTATAGGTCACTGTAAGTCATTCCTAGGGGAAAAGAAAGATAGGAATTACCAGGGAGAATGGACAGGAGGGGATCAAAGAGACAGCACAGAAGTTAGGGAACTTGCCTTGCATGGAGCTGACCCAAGTTTGATTGCCAGCATCCCATATGGTCCCCTGAGCCTGCCAGGAGTGATCCCTGAGTGCAGAGGCAGGAGTAAGCCTTGAACATAGCTGGGTGTGGCCCCCAAAACAAACAAAAAGAATGTTTGGACAGCAGAGTACTTTGAAAAGATCAGCTGGAGAGCAGATTGGAGGGGCAGGATCAGAGATGGGGAGCCAGAGGTAGAGAGATCAAGTTCCAGAGGCCCTGCCAAGCCCTCTGGCCTCACGCTTTCCTTCCCTACGTGTCACTCGTCGGCTGTGTGGACATCGAATCAGTGGAGGTACCTGCTCATTTTAGCTTCCTGTCTTTCCTCTCAACCCTGCTCATCCTCCTTGCTCTTCCCAGAATGCCTTTGCTGTCCACAAATGCTCCCTGTGAACTCATCCCCAAAGACCAACTCATTTGAATCTCTTCTAGGAAGTCCTCCTGGTCTGAGGCAGAAACATCCCTTGTATGGCTCCCAACTCTGAGCTTTACCCAGTCTCAGCTCTGAACGACCTGCACCATTTGTTTCCTAGACCCCCCCATTGGATTGAGGGCAGCTTGGGCTGGGGCCTCTGTTCCCCGGATTCGTAGGTGGCATCAGGAGAGAGGTGACTTTGAGCAGACCAATAGAGGCAGCGGCTAATGAACCTTCCACAGAACTGGTCAGAACACTTCCTGGCCAGCGCCCTGATGCCTGCACCCCAGGCCCATGACTGAGCAAGTCCCCTCCCCACCCAGAGTGTCTCCTCCACATGCCATGGATCCATGAAGTTCCCAGAATGCCCCATGATACAGTTGATGGGAGGGGCTGGGGGGCTGGACCCTGGAGTCTCCAGCCACAGGGCAGCTCTGAAGCTAATGCAGAGCCTGTGGGAGATGGGGCCCGGCACCTGGGTCAGGAAGAAGGACTCGGTGCTCTTGGTGTCATCCTCTGAGATGTGCTCAGGGCTGGCGCGGCCGGCGGCATCGCTCTGTGGGGATGTGGTCTCTTCGCTCTGCACGGTGGAGTCGGAGCAGATAGGTGGCAGCGGCACAAAGGTCCGGTGGGTCATACAGATGCTCTCGGTGGGCATCTCTGATTTTGGGGAGGTGCTTTGGATCCTGTCCAGCAACTCGGGCTGCCCCACCTCTGATGGCCTCAGCAGCTCTTTAGAGGGGGAGCTGTCTGCCATGGCCCGCTGATGGAGAACCACCTGCTGCTTCGGCACCTTCGGGATCTGGGTTTTCACCTGTCCGGAGAGAAGGGCGGGGAGGGGTGACCTCAGCACTATCTCTCTACAGAGGTGAGAGATAACACCTGGGCTTTGGGGAGGTGGTCCAGGCTTGTACCTGGGCCTCTGATTTTCCCCCAGCTCCTCAGGGCCTCGGTTTCTCTGTAAAATTGGGGGGAGGGAGCAGGTTTGATGACCTTGGGGACCCTCTCCCACTCTGACTGTCCTGGCCCTCCTTGGGACACCTATAGTCACAGAGCAAGGCGAGGAGTGTTGGTTCCCAGCTGCGTGGGACCTGGCTGCCCGGACCCTGCCTGCACCTCCCCGGGGACGCCTCACCTTCCGCGATTTCTTCCGGGGCATCGTCATACGGTGCTTGCTCTTCACTATTTTCCTCCGAACAAGGTGGATCCCCAGACGCTCCTGCAGGAAGCTTTTGAGCAATGGAGGGGCGCCTGGAGCCACGGGGGAAACAAAGCCACGGCTGAGGGATGTTCTCTTGTTTTCTGTTGCTCAGGTCAGAACCCAGGAAGGGTTCAAACCCTGGATGTGTCAACATGCGAACCCTTGCACCCTCCAGGGCTGGGGCCACCCCCAGGCCCTAGGGAGGAAGAACAAGCCCAAAGACGTGAAGGCCACAAAGGCAGGTGGTCCTGGGGAGGTCCACAGAGGGCCTGGACCCCCACGAGCCTCCTGACATGGCACTTGGGGTGCTCTGGAGGGAGGCCCCACACCGTCTTTGATGTGATGGGAGTGGGAGAGGGTGTCGCCAGGCCTGACTGCGAGGCTGACCTTTCCCAGGACTGAGATAGCCCTCGGGTCCATTCCAGCACCCTCTTTCCTGCTGAGCTACCATGATGAACCTCTCTGAGCCTCAGTTTCCCCTCTGTGCCTGGAGACCATAAAACTGCTGTTTCTCTGTTCCCCAGTGCCTCAGGCTCTGGCAGCAACGGGGGTGAGGTGCCCATCCTACTTCCTGGCACTGGGGTCAGGGGGAGCGGCGCCCTACCTCGAGTATGGGCCACCAGCGGGTTGTTGTGAAAGACCAGCTCACAGAGAGATGGGAAGAGAGCTGCGGGAAGGATGGCGTCTTCCTTGCTGATCTGTGAAGAAGGGAACGAGGGTCAGGCTGGCCCTATTCTCACCTCCGCAGCAGGTGCCCGACTGGGCAGGTGGCAGCTGTGGGCACTGTCGCCTCACTCCATCCTTGGGTCCCATCTGGCTCCTTGCAGCTGAAATCCTGCCCAACCATACAGTTTCACCAGTTCACTACAGGGGGTGGAGCCTACACTGTGAGCTGGGCGTGTGCATGCTGACAGCTCACACAGCCTGGGAGGAGAGTCCCACAGCCTGGGGACAGGACACACTTGCTTGCCATCAGGGTATGGTCCTCTGCTTCATCCTCTTCTCCAGCACCTGCAGCCTGTCACTGGCCCTCCTGGGCCCTGGTTGCTGCAGGGACAGAGCATGGCAGTCTGGCCTGGACTAAGCAGGACAGTGGAGGGAGGCAGCCCTGGCAGATCCTAGCCTGTTAAAAGGTGGCCCAAACCAGGGGCCAGAAATCCACCGTCCTCGTGAAGCAGTGGGGGAGCATCTGGGGACCGCCAGGGCAGGCCATAGAACAGGGGGGAGCCCTCCATGTACAGGCCAGCATTGTACCAGGGGCCTTCCTGACGCCTGGGCACAGGGGAAGGCGCTGGGTTCCATCTGAGGCCCGCAGAGGCCATGCAGGCCGGGGGGCTGGAGCAGGGGGAGCACAGGAACCTGGCTGCTTCCTCGAGGGCCCCCCAGGTGGGCTCAGGCCCTGCAGGTGATTAATTTACTCATTCTCCTACACTGCTGTCCACTCAGTCGGCCAACAGGTACCAAATCTCAGCTCTTGTCAAGCTCTGGGCTGGGAATGAGTAAAACAAAATCCTGTGTTCAAGGAACATTGCATAGTGGGAAACAGCAATATGGAAGGCCAGTCACAGAGGAGTGTCAATATTACAAGGCGGACAAGGGCTATACAAGAGAGGCCCATGGTGGGCTGGAGCCTTAGGACAATGACGGAGGGCATTTGCATTGCATGCAGCCGACCCAGGTTCAATCCCGGGCATCATATCCAGTCTCTCAAGCGCTACCAGGAGTAATTTCTGAGTGCAGAGCCAGGAGTAACTCCTGAGCATCACTGGGTGTGGCCCCCAGTAGAAAGAGAGAGAGAGAGAGACAGACAGACAGACAGACAGAGACAGAGACAAAGAGAGGGACGGAGGGAGGGAAGGAGGGAGGGAGGGAGGGAGAAGGGAGAGAGGGAGAGAGGAAGGGAAAGAGAGAGGGAGAGGGAGAGAGAGAGAGAGACAGAGAGAGAGACAGAGAGAGAGACAGAGAGAGAGAGAGAGAGAGAGAGAGAGAGAGAGAGAGAGGTGACCTGGCCTCCTGGGGAGGCGGGGCAGGAGTGCTGGGATGTGAAAGCCAGCCAGTTAGGACAAAGAGGAAACGCAGTGGGGCTGGACTCTGGCAGGACAAACTCTTCATTGGCCCCAGCACTTGTCTATTTTTTTCTTCTTCAACTTTTCATACAATTTTATTTTCTCCCCTCAAATATAATAATATAATAAACAAATTTTGTCTTAACTGGAGCGTCATAAGAACAGGTTTATCCAGCCCACTCACAGGGCAAGGCAAATGCTGCTTCTTGAAATGGTCCCACCATGGACCCTCTGGTCATCCAACCCGAGTCTCCCCCTTTTTTCTGGCTTTATCTTCACTATATTGTGTGGCCTCTTTACTGAATCGCATTCCGGACTTTAACTTGTGTGTGGCTTCCATGATTCTTCCATGTTTTTTACACAGAATGTGTCTGACCGTTACTGCATTAATGCCATCACCTTTGGGACCCTGAGCCGCCTTCTCCACATCACTCCCAGAGGCTTCTCCCCCTTTCCCTGATTTTCTTGAACCACTTTTCCCTCTGGGAGGCATCTCCGAAACTTGCTGATGAATTCCCAACTTAGCCCTTGTCTGTTTTCCAGACCCCAGCTAGACTTCTCTCTGCTCCCAGGCAGTTCGATGAAGTCAATGAAATCGGAAGTAATACATGTTATTTCCTCCTGCATCTCTCCTCATCCTTCCTCCACTCAACCCTCCACCAGACATTTATGGAAGAAACCAACCAAGCCCCCTAAATACCTATGAGATGCCTGAATCACAGTCAGAAAGGGAGTGTGGAAACTCGCTGGCCAGCTTGAATTTTGTACAAGCAAAAAATACAGCCACATCTCACTGTATCACACTGCTATTTTGAAAACAAAAATGAAACCCCCAAACAACAAACTGAAAGTGTGTAGCAACCTTGCATTGTAGGAATCCTGGACACAGGAGAAGACAGTACAGCAGGTAAGGCACTTGCCCTGCACGTGGCAGACTCAAGTTTGAGCCCCAGCATCCCATATATAGTAGCCCAAGTTCACCAGGAGTGTTCCCAGAGTGCAAAGTCAGGAGTAAGCCCTGAACGCTGTTGGTTGTGTCCCCAGTCCAAGTCAGAACAAAACCCAAAAATGTGTGTAGGAAGCCTTTTCCAACAGCAAGTGCTCACTTTGGTCTTGAATCAAGATGGGTATAGTGTTGTATTAGCCATAACATTCTATTATGGCTAATATAGCACTATACCCCAGTCTATTCTATGACACACAGAATAGACTACAACATGGGGTAGGGACCAGAGAAGTAGTATACAGTGGGTAGGGCACTTGCCTTGCATGTGGCCAATCTGGGTTCAATCCTTGGCCCTCCATATGGTCCCCCTAGCCCCTACCAGGAGTGATTCCTAAGTGTAGATCCAGGAATAAGTCCTGAACACAGTTGGGTGTACTTCCTATATATATATATATATATATATATATATATATATACACACATATATAAAACATATATGTACATATATATGTGTATATAAGGAAATTTTATATATCTATATCTATCTATAATATATATATATATATATATATATATATATATATAAAACGGAACTCTCTTACACACTGGGAAACCCAACTGTGGTTCTCACTGTATCATTTGCTTTCTGGCTGCCAACAAGGCAATTCACAAACAAGTGTGGTGGCTCTCTGCCAACAAAACTGCACCCTCTGAGGCGCCTGTCCACTAAGTCACAGACAAAGCTCAGTTTGCTGCAGCAGCGAGGGCGCCTGCCACCAATGTGGGAAGGAAATGTCCATGCGAGAAGAACATGTGAAAGGCCTCACAGCAAGGGGAAAAGAATCCACTGCTGGTGGATTCTGAAGGCCACAGAGGGGCTTAGATCAAACAGGGGCCAGACCCAAAGAAGGTCAAAATTTTCATCCTTTGGGAACTGATAAGATAGATTTTTACAAATATGAGAGCCCACGTTAGATACGACTTGGCAACAGTGATTACCACTTGACAAAGGTCATGGTGATGGACTAGGTATGGGTGGTAAGGAGGGATAGGAGAAAGGGAATATCAGGGACGATAATCAGATTTTGGTTTGGGAACTTGGGAGGATGGCAGGGCCATGTGCTAGGATCTGGAGCAATGAGGAATATCACACTGGAAGGGAAAGATGGCTGATGTGTACTTTGGGAATGTCTTTATAGATCCAGGAGTGATGTCAGGCGGGCAGTGGCCTCAGTGCCACGGAGTAGAGGAGCGGGTCAACGTGCACCAAGCCTGAAGTCACTGGGGCCCCTGGCTCAGGGGGCTGCTGCTCTGGAGAGGGGGAGAGGGAAGAGAAGAATTAGGGGGGAGGGACGGGGAACAGGCCTGGAGGGACACTCACGGCCCATCACATGACCAAGGCTCAGACCACTGGGTGCTTTTAGGCTTCACAGGCCTGGCAGTTAGTGACACAGCAATTTCACCTTGCTGCTGGAGCACCACAACCATCTGAGATAATTCACAAACAAGTGCAGCGGCTCTCTGCCAATGAAACTGCACTGATAGACCCTGGAATTGGAATTTCATATCATTTTACCATGTCAGGAAGCATCAGCCTTTGCCTTTTTGCCCCCAATCACTTACCAATGTAAAAATTATTAGCTTAAGACCTGTAAAACAGGGGCTGGAGCAATAGCACAGCAGGTAAGGCGTTTGCCTTGCACGCGGCCAACCTGGGTTCAATTCCCAGCATCCCGTATGGTCCTCTGAGCACTACCAGGGGTGATTCCTGAGTGCAGAGCCAGGAGTAACCTCTGTGCATCGCTGGGTGTGACCCAAAAACAAACTAACAAAAAAAGCTGTAAAAGAAAAATCCAGGATCTACAGACAGAGTTTACGGGCCGCATCTGGCCACTCCCTCAGTCCATAATGTTCTCTGAGAATACAGACACGGTCTTCACCCCACCTCTCCTTTAGTGCTACAAGGGCAGCATAGAGTAAGGGCCACAGAGTACTGCATTTACTTCTGGCCTTGAGAGACAATGTTGGTTGACATCTTACCAAGATACTAATGAGGAGGGAAGGGGAATGAGGTTACAAAAAAGCCTAATATGCACAGATAAATAACTGCACTGCTGGTTAAAGGATAGAGTCTCTGAAGTGCAAATCGGATGCTCTGGCAGCAATCCTGGCCAAGGTCAGAGAAACAGCTAAATTCCATGACTGATCTTGCAGAGATGCCAGCAGCTGAATTATTCCAGACAGGTGCAGCCCAGATCTCTGGAGTCCTGGCGGGATGGGAGTAGACCTAGAGCCCACCTGCCAGGGGCCCGGTGCTCCACCCACCTACATCCAGTTCCCACTGCTGCCAGAGAAAGACTCAGCTTCACGACTGATCTCGGAGAAGTGCCAGAGAGATCCCGGCAGCTGACTGTCCCAGCACCAAAGCTCCTGAAGCAACACCTCCAAATTTCACAGAGCCACAGCCCAGGAGAAGCATAGAAAATTAGATGGGGAAATTGAGTAGAAGCCCACTGAGCTCTGTAAGTGAAACTACTAACACAGAAGGCTCAACCTGGGGAGAGGGGGCAGAGGCTCAGTAAATCCTCAGGCCATGGCTAGCAACACCATTATGAGACACATGTTGTAACAAGCAATACACAGATAATTATTTCATGCCTGCTAAGGGGGTGGGTGGGAAACCAGGGACAATGGTGGAAGGGAGGGCACATGGGCAGTGGGACTGTGTGTCTCTGAAGTGCAAATCGGATGCTCCAGCAGCATCCAATTGAATACCTGAAACAAATGAACAACTTTGTACATCATGATGGTTGAATAAAGTTCATAGGGGGAAAAAAAAGCAGCTGACCCAAAGTAGGATTTTGGTGTCATTTGTCAGGCTGCAGAACTCTGCAGAATTCTATCCATATATCTAAGTCAGGTGGTTGAAAAAGCAGAGGAAGGGCCAGAGAAAGAGAGGAAGAGGGAGAGAGGGAGGGAGGGAGGGAGAGAGAGAGGAGAGAGTGACAAGGAGAGAGAAAGAGAGAGGGAGAGAAAGATGAAGATAGGGAGAGAGAAAGAAAGACAGAAAGGGAAAAGAGGGAGAGAGAAGGTGGGAGAGAGGTAGGGAGGGGGAGAGAGAGAAGAAAGTGACAGAGAGATAAAGAGAAAGGGGGAGAGAGAGAGGGAGAATGAGAGGGAGGGAGAGAAAGGGACAGAGAGAGGGAGGGAGAGAGAGGGGGAGAAAGAAGAAAAAGAGAGGGAGATAGAGGGAGAGAGACAGAGGGAGAGAGGTGGAAAGAAAGAGAGAGGGAGGGAGAGAGGGAGGGAGAGAGGGAGAGAGAGGGAGAGAGAGGAGAGGTAGAGAGAGGGAGAGAGAGGGAAAGAGAGAAGGAGAAGTAGAGAGGGGGAGAGAGAGGGAGAGGGAGAGGAAGAGGGAGGGAGAGAGGGAGAGGGAGAGAAGGAGGGAGGGAGGGAGGGAGGGAGGGAGAGGGAAAGAGAGGGAGACAGAGGGAGACAGAGAGAGAGAGGGAGAGGGGGAGAGCGTGTGCCCTCACAGGGCTGAGTGGGTGTGGTTTGTGCATGCAGGAGGCAGGGTGGGTCTGATCCCAGACACCCACGGTCCCCCAAGCATAGAGCGGGGCAGTAGCTCACACACTGGGTGTGGCCCCCAAGACAACAACAAACCACGATACAACACAGCAGAGAAACCAGAGTTACAACTGAAATTGGCAGCAAGTTGCCGGACGTGCAGGGCATGTGTTTTCATACTTTCAGTGCAATTAACTCCCTGTGAAAGGCTGTGGGTGAGCTATAGCACTCCTGGGAATATATCCCAGAGAGGCAAAAGGGTATAGTCGAAGTGACATCTGCAATTGTTTGTTCATTGCAGCACTCTTTACAATAGCCAGAATCTGGAAAAAACCTGAGTGCCCAAGAACAGATGACTGGTTAAAGAAACTTTGGTACATTTACACAATGGAGTACTATGTAGCTGTTAGAAAAGATGAAGTTATGAAATTTACATACAAGTGGTACTACATGGAAAGTATCATGTTAAGCGAAATGAGTCAGAAAGAGCGGGATAGACACAGAAAGATTGCATTCATCTGGGGAACATAAAGCATCAAAAAGAGAGACTAACACCCGGGAATGGCTGAGATTAGTACCAGGAATTTTGCTCCATGACTTGAAGGCCAGCCACACGTGCTAGGTGAAGAGGAAGCTCAGATAGAGAAGGGAGCACCAAATAAAGGGTGTTGTGAGGACCCTCCCAGGGTGGGAGAAGCATGCTAAAAGTAGTCTATAGACCAAACATGATTGCCACTCAATGCCTCTCTTGCAAAACACAGTACCCAAAAGAAGAGAGAGAGAACAAGGGGGAACGCTCTGCCACAGAGGTAGGGTGAGATGGGGGGGATGGGGGGTGGGAGAGATGCTGGGACCCGTGGTGGTGAAGGATGGGCACTGGTGGGGGGATGGGTACTTGATCATTGTATAACAAACCCAAGCACCAAAATTTGTAAAATAAAATAATTTAAAAAAAAAAAAGAAAGGCTGTGGGTGAGGATTCCGGCAGAGGGGCAAGAGGACTCAGCCATCAGGCAAACCTGTTCCCAACAGCATGAATGGAAATACGGTTTTCTACAACTCCTTCAAATGTCTGCCCCTTTTTATTTGGCTCAGGAGACTATAATGCAATCTGTCAAATGGATGAAATAAGTAAATATTAAAGATTGGATGAAAGCGAATATTGTACTCTAACACAAAAATGACTTGATTTGAGCAGATACTTTAAATGGGAAACTTCCGTTTGAAGGCAAAATTGGTTTCACATTTTGTAACATTAATATACTGAACATTCGCTTCAGCACAGTGGCTCTGCAGATTCTTCGGCAGGATGATGCATCACTCATTGATTTCACTAACTCTCTGAGCACCTATCATGTTCCAGGTGCAGACGGTGAGAATATAGACATAAGCAAAGTTCCACAGTTGTTGTCTTGGGGGGCCACACCCAGTGTGTGAAGGCACTAGAAAGACTGTATCTGACAGATAATACCTAAAAAGACACAGAATATGCTGGGTGGTAACTGTCATAAAGAAAACTATCTGGGGCTGGAGCAATAGCACAGCGGGTTGGGCGTTTGCCTTGTACACGGTCAACCCGGGTTCGATTCCCAGCATCCCATATGGTCCCCTGAGCACCGCCAGGAGTAATTCCTGAGTGCAGAACCAGGAGTAACCCCTGAGCATCGCCGGGTGTGACCCAAAATGCAAAAAAAAAAAAAAAAGAAAAAAGAAAAAAGAAAACTATCCTTCAAAAACAGAGGTAAGTCCCCACCCTGCAAAAGGCCCTGCCTCCCGCCCACACCTGACTTCCACAGGCAACTAAATGGCCCAGCTCCAACACTGATTTCGGAGAAATGCTGCAGCTAAGCTGAGCCAGGTAAGCCCTGTCTCTGGGTCCAGGTCTCTGGAGCCTTCTCTGGAGGGGGACCAAGTCTCCCCTGAGAACCCCCCACCCCCAGCCCTACTTGAAGGCACAGAAATCCACCCACACCAGACTTCCACTGCCATGTAAGCTGTCGAAGTGGGATACCTCGCTGCTGAACCACCCAGTTCCACTCTCCAAATTTCATAGTACTGACAGCCCAGTAGGAGCACAGAGAATTAGATGGGAAGCTTGTGTAGAAACCCAGTAAGCTCAGTGAGTGAAACAGTTAACACAGAAGGCTCAACTAGCACCTAAATGTCCAGATAATTTTGGTAACACCATCATGAGATACATGTTGTAACAAGCAATATAAAATAATTTATTTTGTGCCTGCTATGGGGGTGTGATGGAGGGGGTATGAGTGGGTAACTTGGGACACTGGTGATGGAAAGGTCACTCTGGTGGGGGATTGGTGTTGGAACATTAAATACCCGAAATGATTGTTTTATGAGCGACTTTGAAAATTACCACATTTAAATAAAGTTAAAAAAACCTGAAATGAGGGACAAGAAAGACAGGACACTTTGTCAATTATGGTGCCATCATAAAAAAATTAAAAATAGAAAAAGACACAAATTCCCAAATCTCAAGAATGGAAGAGGCAGCCAGGTCACTGATTTTCTCCAGAGGGTGAGACCATCATTCAGTGGGCCACGGAGAGTCTCCCCAATGGTGTCAGAATGCTGGATACCCATGTGCATGGCTGAAAGTGAATCCCTAATCACAGCACATACGAAGTTCAAATTAGCTCAGAAACCTGTGTGTAAACTGACAAAGTGCACAGAAGGTAACTTTTGGGGAGTTCAGCTGTCCCAATGGCTTGCCTCAGCAGGAAAGGAAGCAGAATTCCATACACACTTTTATTTTAGAAAAAGACAGTAGATACAGAAAAGACTAAAAGTATAGATTCCAACATCTTAAGTATTTCATACTTTACCAGAACTCAACTAGTGGGGATTTTAAAATATAAAACAAGATGCAGATCTTGGAAAAATACAGGAAAAGAAAGTTAAAACTCTTTCATAGACTTGCTACCTAGATGCTATTCCTGCTAAAATACTTCTCCCTTCACTCTTCAGTAGATGAAACTCATTGGCTTGATTCTTGGCTGAAACCTCTCCCCGTCACTTTCCCCAGCATGCCTCCTCCCCATCACCTACTGCAAGGCCCAGTGTGAATCTCTCACTCCAGGCAAAAGCATCTGCTTGTAGCTATTTGTCCAGCATCAGGTTTCTGGTCAGGGTAGAGCTTAGGTCTTTCTTCACGTAGCTGTATACTGTATGCCCGCATGGCATAAACAGCGGAGACAGCAAGGGTGGTCTCCAGTGAGTGGCTGGTCTGCACTCTCTCCCCTTCCCTCCCCTGACAAGTCCTGAGTCTGTGTGCTGGGGATGCTGGGAACTAGGGCGGTCAGCCTCCAAGACACAGCAACCTGCATCCCACCTGCCCTAGGTACAGAAAGAGAGAATCACCTTGTTGTAGGCCAGGCTCAGATATCTCAGCTCCGGGAAGGGTGGGGCCAGTGTTTGGTTCCTGGCCTTCAGTGACTTCACAGGAAGAATCTCGAATATGGGAGGAAGTGCACATACTTTGGCTGTCTTTGAAGGGAAAAACAAGTTAAAGTCAAAGTGCCATGGTGATGAAAAATAAAACAAGGATGCTGCCAAGATCCCACAGACCCATCCTGGAGTGTGGTGATAAAAAAGCCCGTTCGAGAGGCCTGGCTGAAAGAGGCATCTCTGCCACACAGGTGTCGCCAAGGGTCCGGAGTTCTGCTTCCAAGTTCTCTGAGGTCACAAAGGGGAGCTACTTCTTCAGCATCCAGCGTTCCAGTGCAGGCCTCTGATGTCAAAGGCTAACACAGCAGGGATACGGATGTCAGTGGTTCTATGCACAAGTGCCCACCTCTACTGAACAAGTGTTTCGCCCAAACGGGCTCTTTGCCACAGTCCAGCTAGCATTTTCCCAGAGGGCAAAGGAGCAGAGTGTCTGCATGGTTACGGGCACTTTTCCTAGAGGGGAGTGAGCTAAGGCAGAGCGGCATTCTCATGGCTACAGGTGCTGCTGGGTCATTGCAGGGTCAGTGTGAGACTGACCTCAGGGTCAACTATTTGGTCAAGCAGAAAAGAGAGAATCTGGGCCCAATATCCTTAGCTCAGCTCTCTCTGACTCCTTGAGTTAGATGGTATGAACACAAGGGATTTACAGGGTAGTTGAGATAATATTCATCCAACTAGATGAGACTAGATTCTATTCCAAGTTGTGTTAATTACTGTGTAATCTTGAAAAGTCCCTTAAGTTTCACTCAATGAGCATTTACAGAGCACTGCTCTTTGGCCCTTGAAGGACATGCTCTCTGGTGTTCAATGTGTAAAGCCACACAGGTTTGTCATGGGGAGCGTTAATCAAGAACCAGTGGCAGGGGCTGGAGGGATAGCACAGCGGGTAGAGCGCTTGCCTTGCATGCACCTGACTCGGGTTCAATTTCCAGCATCCCATGTGGTTCCCCAAGCACTGCCAGGAGTAATTCCTGAGTGCAGAGCCAGGAGTAATCCCTGAGCATCGCCAAGTGTGACCCAAAAAGAAAAAAAGAACCAGTGGCAGTGCTCTGGGACCCTAGGTCTGTTCCCTCTAGCTGTTCCCTGTGCCGGCTGAGAGGCTGGAGTGGAATGGGTGGCAGCTTGCAGGAAAGTCTCCCTGGATTACTCCTCCCTGCCTGGTGCAAGGCTGCATGAACCAAAGTGGATACGTTGACTGGAGCCCAGAGGAAAGAGCCAGAGTCCGGCTCAGGGTCCACACTCAGAGCACTGGGGAGGCCTGGCTGGGCCTGATGGGGGAAAGGGCCCCAAAATGTGCACTGGTGGAGGGATGGGTGTTTGATCATTCTATGACTGAAACGCAAACATGAAAGCTTTGTAACCATATCTCAGGGTGATTCTGTAGCACTGTAGCACTGTTCATCGATTCGCTCGAGCGGGCCCGGTAACGTGACCCATCCTGGTGACTTTATTATTACTGTTTTGGCATATTGAATACGTCACAACTAGCTTGCTAGGCTTTGCCATGCTGGCGAGATACTCTCGGTAGCTTGCCGGGCTCTCCAAGAGGGGTGGAGGAATCAAACTCGGGCGGCCAGGTCGGCCACATCAGCCACGTGCAAGGCAAATGCCCTACCCACTGTGCTATCGCTCCAGCCAGGGTGACTCATATATATATATCTATATGTATATAATATATGTGTATATATATACACACACATATACAGATACATATATATGTGTATCTGTGTGTGTATATATATATATACATATACATATATTATATAAGGGCCACACCCAGCAATATTCAGAGGCGCAGGCCACTCCCAGCAGAGCTCAGCTACAAGGTCAATGGTGCTCAAGACAGGGTATTTGGGGACACTGGGGACAGATCAGGTGGTGCTCAGAGGGGCAAGCAATGCTAGGGATCCTGCACCCACCAGGCATGTGCTTGACCACTGAGCTCTCTTCCTGGCCCCTAGAGCCTTTTCTTCCTCACTTGAGGCAGCCATCATTATTACTAAATAGCATCTGAGAAAACAAGGGTGAGCCTGCGGGCCGTGTGAGGCAGGGCCTGTCCTTCAGTCACCTGCAGAGGCACACACGGACTCAGAGGCTGCAGGCACTCAACACTCATGCCATGAACGGGCCTCCTCAGGGGGATGGAGTGCGATGCCTCCCCCAACTCCAAGAACTTATTTTCGCTCATGATGAGGAATGTGCTACTCCTAGGGTCCAAGGATAAAACGGGTGCTCTAAAAAGGTGTGTGTGCGCGCGCATAGATCACCCCTGAGTGAAGGGAAAGGGGGAAAGAGAGAGAGGAGAGGCAACTGGGACAGGGAGCAAAGGGACTCAGGGACGTCACTGGTGATGTTGGCACTCAGGTTCATCGGTGGTGTTAAGGAATGATGGAGCTAAAGCTCCAAACCAGAGACAACAGCGCTGAAATCGCGAGACTCAAACTTTAATGGGCTGGAGCTAAGCCACACGGCACAGCGGTAGGGCGTTTGCCTTGCAAGCAGCCAACATGGCTGACCCGAGTTCGATTCCTCCGACCCTCTCGGAGAGCCCGGCAAGCTACCGAGAGTATCTCGCCCGCTCGGCAGAGCCTGGCAAGCTCCCCGTGACGTATTCGATATGCCAGACACAGTAACAACAAAGTCTCATGATGGAGACGTTACTGGGCCTGCTCGATAAAATCGATGAACAACGGGAGGACAGTGACAGTGACAGTGACAAACTTTAATGACCAAATTAAAAAGGTGCCCGTCAAGATGGCAGGCTGGGGCTGGGGTGGTGTGATAAGAGAGGGAACCGGAGAACACAGGGAGACGGAAGCTGACACTGGTGGTGGGATCATTGATGGAACATTGTATGTCAAAAACCTAATTATGAATAACTCTGCAACTCATGGTGCTTTCATCAAATACAATTTTGAAAGAGGGAAACGAAATAAAATAAAACTGGCACTCTTACCTCCGAGGTTGAGAATCCAGGGTAAGATGTGAATACCACCTCTGAAATGAGAGAAGCAGAACGGAGCTTGGTGAGAGCACGGAGCCCCCCAAGCCGGCGCCAGGTCTGCTCCCCTCTGCCACTCCACCGGGGCACAGCGGGGTTCTCCCAGATGGGGCCTTCGCTGCCTTCCAGCTCCCAGTGAACTGGGAAGGAGCTTACTGTGACATCCGCTAGCCTTCTGCTCTCCGAATAAAACCCAACCCCCTTTGGTCGTGCTTGAGGTCCTGGCATGATCTGGCCCAGTTCACTGTGCACTTCTGCTACTTCCCACCTTGCTGAATCCCAGCCCTGGCTGGGGACCTTCTTTCTGACTCGGCAACATGGCAGCCCTTTCTCTTCTTCAGGTTGTTGGGGTGGGGAGGAGAGAGGGGTGTCAGGAGTTAAGCCAAAGGGCAAACCAACTGATTTAACAGAGAGAAATGTATAGAGACAAGATTTAGTCAGAGGACAAGAAAAAACCTCTGTTATATTATTAGAAATAGCACAGCGGGTAGGGCATTTGCACGCAGCTGACCCGGGTTCGATTCCTCCGTACCTCTCGGAGAGCCCGGCAAGCTACTGAGAGTATCCCGCCCACATGGCAAAGCTTGGCAAGCTCCCCGTGGCGTATTGGAGATGCCAAAAACAGTAACAAGTCTCACAATGGGAGACGTTACTGGTGCCTGCTCGAGCAAATCGATGAACAGTGAGAGAACAGTACTACAGTGCTACCGTCTGTTCAAGACAGGGAATCCAGACAGCTGGTGAGAAGGAGCGGCAGCATGCGAGGCAGGAGGGTGATGCCATTCTCAGAGCCCGTAAATAGCCGAGGTGGACCCCCAAAGCAAAGCAGATGCTGAAACTCCATCCATTCAAAACGGACTTTTGAATATGCTTGTTATCATAAAATCTGCTTTCTTCCTGTGTAGACAACTCACTTTTCTCTGGCTGGTGGGAATACCTCGCCTGTTTACCAAGCAGGGGGTACTCGAAAGTGAAGGAAGCAACAATAGGGTGGCACACCCCATGATGTAAATAATGTCTCTGGTGATGGTCTGGGAAGGAGTTTGGCAAGGTCTGTGCAAAGAACACAGAAGAGTTCAGAGGAAGAGGGGCCATGGCTGCAAGTGTGGGTGCTAAACAGCGACACCCTCAGGATCTGGGGAGCCCCCACATCTAGAAGAGGAACACCAGGAGCCGTCTGGAGGCCTGACCTGCCCCTCCCTACACCCTCAGGAAGCAGCTCCAGAAACCAGAACCTGTTTCTGACTGGGGAGTTTTCAACAAAAAGAATAGTCAAGGATCTCCAAATAGCTGAGGAAAATTAACAGGATGAAAAATAGGAAACATCAAAAACAGAAGAACTCAAACTGAAAAAAAATGTGAACAAAAATGAATCATTTGGATTCCCTGAGGAATATAAACACTACTTCACTCCTAAAACAAAAACAGGTATGTGTGTTTGTGTGTGTGAATCTAATCCAGGGCATCACACATGCATAATATGTCTACCACTAAGCTATACTTCTGACCCCAAAGCATATTATTATGGAAAGAAACTATAAAAAATTTTGTGATTTTAAAATATAATCACCGGGAGGCAAGATGGCAGCCCTGCAGCAAATGGCTGTCAAGAGATGCATAAATGTCCTTGATTCATCAATCAAGCAGAGGTTTTTGGGTTTTTTTTTTTGCAACATTTATTTCTACTTCAAAATGGACTTTTGAATTATGCTTGTTATCATAAAGTCTCTTTTCTTCTCTTCCAGGTGGCTATCATTGCAAAGCTGAGTTTTCTTTGACATCAGATGGGAGGATGATAGCATGTGACCATCCTTCTATAGACATTTCTTATGAGCACATAAATACACCCCCTGAGCAGACCCTCAGCATCATAATGAAGAAACATATGACCAGGTACTTCAAACCAGATTACAAGAATGCTTCAAGAAAGTACCCAAGATGGAACAACTTAGCAAAATGTTTGTTATAACCAAGCACTGTTGGTATTTTCAGACAGAATCATAGATATTCCAAGAAACTGGACCATCCAGAGAGATAGTACAGTTGGTAGAGCACTTGCCCCACATGTGGCTGTCTCAGGTTCAACCTCTGGCACCCCTTGTGGTCCTCTGAGCCTGCCAGGAGTAAGGCCTAAGCAAGCTGGGTGTGGCCCCAAACAAAAAGACACCAGACCCTCGAGACTTGAGATTGAAGTTCTCAGGAATCAAGGAGAAAGATTATTCTTAGCCTCATTGGACATCTGAGGAAACATGACTTGCTATGTTTACTAATGTTATGTAGTTAAAATAAAATAGTGTCTCACACAAAAGTAAAATATTACCAAACAAACCAAAGACAATCCATATGTTAGATATAAGAGGTAATAACATAAGTAGAAGATGAAGCTGACTTTCAGAATATAGTAAAAAAAAAAAAAGCTCAGATAAAAAAAACTCTAGAGTAGAATGGAAAAGAGGGCTAAAAGAGAAACACAAACTTCCCGTATCTGAAGGAATTTCAGAGAGTTACTACAGAGAGAAGCAGAAGGAGGACATTTTTTCCAAGATGAAGAAAATTATGGCTTTGATTGAATCAATCTTTCAAATCCCTAAAAAATAAAAGTGAACAAATTTTATACTTAGGTTCATCCAGATACAAAATTCTAAAAGATAAAGAGAAATAAGAGTCCAGATCCTCATTTACCGTCGGTGGAAAGTCATCTGGTGCGGTCTCTGGAGAACCCAGATAGGAGACTGCTTAAAAAAGTAAGAACGAGCCTGACTAATTGACTTGTATTTGGCCAACCTGGGTTTGTTCCTAGAACCTCATAAGGTCCCCTAAGCACAGCCAGGAGTGATTCCCGGAGTACAGAGCCAGGAATAACCCCTGAGCATCACTGGGTGTGGCCCAAAAACCGAAGTTTTTTTTTTTTTTTAAGGGGGATAAGAACAGAGTTCCCTGGGCGGGAGTGAGAGCACAGTGGATAAGGCATTTGCCTTGCACGTGGCTGACCTGGGTTCAATTCCTAGCATCCCACATGGTCCCCTGAGTACCACCAGGAGTAATTCCTGAGTGCAGAGCCAGGAGTAACCTCTGTGCATCGCCAGGTATGACCCAAAATGAAAAAAAAAAAAAAAGAACAGAGCTCCCATATGACCCTGTGATTCCATTCTTGGGCATCTACCCTACTACAGCACAATTTACAATAACTGAGATCTGGAGATAACCCAAATATTCAATGGCAAATAAGTGAATAAAGAAATTGTGGTAAATACAATAGGAATACAACTCAGCTATAAGAAAAGATGTAATCCCCGAGCCAGGAATAAGCTCTGAGCACTGCTGAGTGTGGCCCCCCAAACCAAAAAAAATTAATAAAAGATTGATGAATTACATCTCATTACATTTAAGAGCTTCAGTTCATCAAAATTCACTACCAATAATAAAGAACTATAGGCTGGAAATAATTTCTTTTGTGATATACAGATAGACAAAATATTATGTCCAGGATATATAAAAAAACTCAAATCAATAACAAAGCACCAAAAAATAAATAGAAGACTTGAATAGGCACATCCAAATGAGGATACCAAAGCAAACCAATAAATATATAAAATGATAACTAAGAAATGCAAATTAAAACCACAAAGAGATACCAACCTCCAAAATAGATAATATTTGAAAGACTGAAAGTGAGGATGTGGGATCTAGAGAATAAAATAAACCTCTTACATTAATAGTGGAATAAAAAAAAATTCGTACAACCACACTGACAAAATGTTTAGCTCTCTGCTAAATCTAAATGTACTTTGAAACTTGATGACTGATCTATTCCATGCCTTGCTCACACCCAACAGAAATGAGAACCTTCAAAAGACAAGGAAACCTTCACAGCAGTATTATCCATCACAGAAACCAGAAATAACTAAAATGTTTATCAATGTAAAATAGATATTTTTAAATTGAGATATAAATGGACTTAAGTCAGAACGAGAGAAAGAAAGATCTACTGATCTGTGCAACATGAATGAGCCTCACAGGCTTCATGCTGAAGGAAATAAATCAGACATGAAAGAGTACACACTGACTGATTCTATACAACATGAATTTCAGACCAGGCAAAAGCCAGCCGATGGCAACATTGATGAGAGTGCTGGTTATTCTAACAAGAGGATTAGGAGCATATCGCGGGGGACACTATGAATGTTCAGTTTTGTAATAGCACAGTGGTTAAAGGACATCTCTATATACATATATAAATTCAAGTTTCATACACAATTTCTATATTCTTCTCTGTGCAAGTTGTTTTACATAAATGGGGCTGGAGTGGTAGTCCCACATGCAAGAGGCCTACATCCAGTCCCCCAATCTACATGGTCTTCCAGTACCACCCAGAGCAATCTCCAAGCACAGACCTAGGAATAGTCCCTGAGCAACACCAGGTATGGCCCCCAAAGAAACAAAAATTTAAAAATTAAAATAAACTTAGCATTTGAACCAGAGAGATAGTACAGAAGGTAAGGCACTTGCCTTGCACCTGCCTGGCCTGGGTTCAGGTCCTGAGCAGTATTTGGTGTGACCCCAAACCACCCCCTGACTTCCCCACCCTGCCCCACTAAAAAAATAGGCTCTAGAAACAGGCACATGTATGAGAAGAATTTTGGTTGATGACAGGTGACATTTCTTTCATTTCCGGCCTCTAAATGGTGTCATGTTGACGTGGAGCTCAAGATTCAGTGAGAACCAGTTTCAGAGGACAAGCAAGCAGGCCAAGGAGGGAAGGAAAGAGGTTAGAAAGAAAAAAAGTTCAGTTTGACTATCTCTGGAAAACCTTACTTCTGAGTTTCTTGTTTTTGATGAAGTGCAAAAAAAACCAAACAAACCCACTTTAAACCAGTTTGTGAAGTCAGGACCCGTCAGAGAATCACTGGAATTATTTCTGAGTGTGACTCTGCCTCACCAGCCCGACAGTTTAAGGACAGCAGCTCCCCAGGGAGCAGACTCGGAATAACGCTAAAGTTGATTCCCACCACCGAGCTCCCATCCTGGAGGAGGGATGTCACTCACCTGTCCGGTCAACATCCTTTTTCATGGGCAGTACAGTGTAATCTGGCTGCTCGTCTTCAGCCTCGTACGTCCACGACTTGGAATGCAGCACAGACTGGGACCCACTGTGGGCACTGCCCCTGCCTTCCACCCAGTCCACCGGGCTGCTGCGGATCTGGACCTGCTGTAGGTACGGGATCCGGGAAATCCTGTTTTGCTCCAGGCTTAACTTCTTCAGTCTTCAATTAAGGAAAGTGAATACAGAATCACAGCAGTAACGATACCTCAGGGGCATTTACCAAGCAACTTTAGGGTAAGAGCATGGAATTCGGCTTGAACCCTTCCCTCCACCCTCCTTTAGGTGATCTTGGGTCAATGACTTAGCCTTGAAGGGCCTCACTATCTCTGTCATTAGAATGGGAAATTTTTGTAACTCTCTTGAGGTTTTCAAGAAGATTTGATGAGACCGTATTTTTAATGGTCTTGCACAAACTAGTGTGCAGTAAATGAATCGAAGTAAATTTTCTAGGGAACCAAGGCATAACCAATTAAATGCCGGGATTTAAATTTACTTTTACCAAACAAGCAGAATGCAGCAGGTCTCTCTTTCAGATTCTGGGTTTTGGGTTTTTATTTATTTTTTTCTGTTATTGGTCCTCTATATCAATTGGACTACGATCTGAGGGTCTGAGATAGTCCAGGTATTAGGGCATTTGCCTTGCACATGGCCCACCCCGGTTCAATCCCTGACATCAAATACGGCCCCCAGAGCAGGCCAGGAATAATCCCTGAGCACAGAGCCAGGAGTTAACTCTTGAGCACTCTACTATCTAAAATTGATACCTCCTCTGACCTTGACCCTCATCTCTCTTTGCAACTTCTAATCTGGTCACTTGACCAAAAATGTCATCCCTGAGTCCTTGCTTTTATGGCTGAGCTGGGGCTCAAAGGGAGGAAAGGACTGACCCACGGCCACAGAGAAGAACTAAGTGTGGGGTCTCTGGGCTTCTAGAGTAGGTCTGAGGCGCGAGCAAGACTGGGGCTTAGAGGGGTCCTCCAGAGAGAGGCTGGTGGCTTTACCTCCTGAGCCCAGCTAGGCTGGAAAAGCAATTGGGGTTGGAGAGCTTGTTGTCATCCAGCATTAGTGTCTCCAGCGCTGGGAACCTCAGGATGTACCTCTTGTTTGTCAACGAAGTTACGGAAGCCTCCCTGCGAGTGCAAAGACCTTGAGTAGTAAGCCAGGGCTCTGCCATCCCCAGGGAGCACTGGGGAACAGGGTTCAACCCAGGGGCCTGCCGGGGTCGGAATTTCACTGAGGTCCCTGCGGAGAAGGGCTGGGTACATCATTTCCTCCCCAGCCGACCCATCCCCCCCGACTCCATTCTCATAGCTAGTCTTCTCCCTGGAGAATTGATAGCACAATTTGGGGTCAGGGCAGATGCCCAGGATCAATAAGCCTCAGCGCATCTAGAGACAAAGGCCTGGGTCATAGCTTTGTGCTGCGACGGGTAAGGTAGCCGGCCCTGGTGCAACTCTCTGCTGTGGTGAGTTCCTGCAGTATATGTACACCAGTGAGGCGCTGGCGCAGCTCTTAGACTCAATTTCCAGAAAGTTGTAGCATCTCATCAACCAACAGTAACGTGACTTCATGGACATCTCTGGATGGATGAGGTCATGCATTTCATGCCCAGGGAAGCAAATGAACTGAATCAGGTTTCCATTCTTCTTGCCAACTCCAGGCCCTCCAGACAGCAGGATAAACAAACAGGGACATTGAATTCCAAACACCAATACAAGCAAAGAGGTATGCATAGAATAGGAGGAAGGAATGTGTCCCCAGAGCCCACTGCAGTCCAGAACCCGTCTCACTGGCTGAGAGGCCTGACATAGGTCGTCCTGGAACAGCATGATGGACAGGTGGGAGCCAGCCCCTCTCCAGCGGAGGAAAGATCACAGCCTGCAGGAAAATGACTTGCCTGCATTCTCCCCACAGCAAAGTGGCAGAGCTCAAACTCAACTCCCAAAGGCCCCTTGCAGTACCCACCTCTCACCCTACCTGCAAGCCCCATGAGTGAACGGGTAGGAGGATGAAAGGGGAGCTTTTATTGGGTCAAGAAAGAACCAGAAAAGGTAGACAAAAGTCAATCAAAAGTCCAGATGGAATTTTAATAGCACACTAAGAGCCAGGAGCACTTTACTGGTGAACTTAGAGAGGAGATGCAGAGGTCAGTCAGGAACCCTCACGGGAATTTAGAGTACTGAGTACAAAGAGGAGAACACCTCCCCCACCCCCCTGAGTTACTTACAATCCTGAGGAGGGAGGTCGACACATGGGGACCCCACAGAGGGAACAATGCTAACATGGAGGCAGGTGCAGAGCTTGCTAGAGTTACCTACTCAGGGGGAGAAGGTTCCAGAAAGAGGAGATAGCTAAACTATTCCACGAAGAATGGAGAGGCAACTAAGGGGGCAAAAGAGGGAGAGAAATCCTCTCTTTGTGGACAATATATTTATCCCCAGATAATATATTCTGGGGCTGGAGTAATAGCACAGCGGGTAGGGTGTTTGCCTTGCACGCGGCTGAACGGGGTTCTACTCCTCCATTCCTCTCGGAGAGCTGGCAAGCTACTGAGAGTATCCTGCCTGCACCGCAAAGCCTGGCAAGCTACCCATGGAGTATTTGATATGCCAAAAACAGTAACAACGGATCTCACAATGGAGACATTATTGGTGCCCGCTCGAGCAAATCGATGAATAACAGGAGGGCAGTGCTAATATATTCTGGGGAAATCATGTTTCCCCTCACAGGGCCCAGAGAGACACAGGCAGCTCCCATGTAAAGAAAAATGGGCAAGTCAAAAGAATAGCACGTGGGGACGCTCACAGCCATGGTGCCCAGGCTGGTCCAGAGATGTGGTAGGGCATGCTGTGCCCTCCAGAGCCACAAGACTCCCGAGAACTCAGCGTAGACGCCCTCTTTGGTGTTACTCCCTGCGGTCCTGCTCCTGGACTTCCATAAATAATAGCCATGACAGTTTTGACCAAAAATGACACAGATGAGTTTCACTTTTAGAACGGGCCTTGGTGGCATGAGAGGCGGGAGGTTCCAAGTCCAACGGCTAGAAACTCCCAGAGAAGCACGAAGACTTTGGTTCCTAGTCTTCACTGTCAATGAACAACTTTCTTCCTTCACCTGAAAGAACTCGAATTCTAAAAAATTCCGAGTCATTGAAGGAGGGTATACAGAAGATCTGCTGATTTATGGGCCAGTCTTTCTTGACTCCAGTGGAACAGCTACGAAACAAACCCTTAACAAATTTCTCCCAAACTCCATCATGGCTAGGCTGGCTCTGTCCTCTCTCTGGTGACAAGTCACACTACTTTGCCTTCAAAATGTGTCAACCTAATGACAAAGTAGTTTCATGTTGGTCTCTGAAACAGGTCTTAAAATAGAGGGGCAGCCAGTCGGTGGGGGTGAGGACAGTGGCAGGGCAGAGGGAGACGGCGGGCCTGCCCACAGAACCCCTTCCGCGGCTGTCTGGGGGGAAGTGCACTTTGAAGAGGCCACAAGTCATTCAGGAGCGGAGAGGCTGAGGTTTCCAGCTGTTTAGAGGTGCTATTTTTATTACACCTTTTGGCAGAAGGAATTAGTCCCATCTAAAATAGGATCAGTTTAACTTGTTCTTTCAGAAGCCGAGAGTGTGTTCGAGTGCTCTGAAGCTGGAATGGGCCGTTGTGGCTCATATTGAAAAGAGCAAGGAAGGAGATGAGGCGCTTGGGCCTTGGGTTCTGGTGCTGCCACCGCCGGCCTTCCTCTGTGACTGCTAGCTGGTGCTAAGACACTCTGGACTCTCGCTGGGCTGAAAAAACGTATATATTTTTAAATTTTACATGATGATGCTTTGGGTGGGTTTAAAAACATGGTTCCACAGACCATATCCAGGCTTACAACAAACAAGGAGAAGGGTAGCAGCCATTCTGTTCAGATGGAAGATCTGATTCTGTGACAAGGGACAGAAAGCCCATTATGCAAACATAGAATGCAGGAGACATTCTTGGATAAAATATGTAGCGACTTTGAGGGTGTGGGGATGAGAGTCTGGCAGTGCTCAAGGCTTACTCTTTGGCTCTCCGCTGAAGGATCATTCCCGACAGAGCTCAGAGAATCGTGTAGTGCTAGGGATCTAACTCTGGTCAGCTGCATACTAGGAAAGCTCCTTACCTGCTGTACGAACTCTCCAGTCCTGAACTAGGTGCCTATTAAACAGTGAATGCCTCCTTAGGTGTATTACTTGGACGGGGATTAGGAAAGAGGAGTTGCCATCCCCCTTTGCTCCCCAACACCAAGACTGAGAAAGCTGGGCTGGAGTGATAACACAGTGTTTCCCTTGCATGTAGCCGACCCGGGTTCAATTCCCAGCATCCGATATGGTCCCCTGAGCACCACCAGGAGTAATTTCTGAGTGCATAAGCCAGGAGTAACCCCTGTACAACTCCGGGTGTGACCCAAAAAGAAAAAAAAAAAGACTGAGAGCTGATTTGTGTGGTCCCAGAGGGGAAGGAATTGGCCTAATGAGAAAATCAAAGTATCAGGTGTCACACAACCAAGCAGGAGAGCGATCTAAGACGGACAACATCAGCACAATAGCCTGACCCACGCAGACAACAATCTAATAATGTGATCAGGCCCAGAGTGGAGAGACAAATAGTTCAACATAGCTGAGATTTAGCCTGGAACAGAAAAAGGCCGAGAGGAAGAAGAAGTAGGCAGAGTCGGGTTACACAGGCCTGGGCTCAAGGCTAATGGATTTATCTTTAGAACTCAGAGAAGCTGCTGAAAGATGAGGCGAGACAGGCCAGTGATAGAATCCGGCGTGCATTTCACATTTCCTGTTCTGGATGATGGGAGGGCTCTTGAGGCCCTGATAAAATAAAGACTGACCCTTGGCATGGTGGGCAACAGAAAAGGATCAAGTTTGAGAAAGAGGATGAAAGGACAGTTCACAACATCTGGTGAATCTGAATGGATGTATAGGGAGAAGGGAGGAAGAGTTCAAGCTGATGCCCAGATTCTGGCCTGGAAGGAGGAGGGCCCATCACGGAGGCCAGGAATACAGGAGCAAGAGATCTTGGCATGGCCACTGTGTAATGCATTTAGCATAAATAAGGTATGCAGGCAAATATTTCAGAAGACAGAAGTGAGGCAGAGAAATAATTTAGTCTGTGAAAGAGATGAGGACACCAAGAAAGTGGAAAAAGATCAAATAAGCCAGTGAGTAAAAAGTAGAAAAAGTGGGACCACCAATGCTTAAGAAGAAAGAAATGATCATAGAGGAATCCACAGGGCAGACAAGGGGGAAGAAAATAGCAGAAATAAAACATGTTGGAGTCTCGAGCTTTCAAAGCCCATGGTTACAGCTGCAGTCTGATGCGAGCACAAAGACATCTTTCTCCCGGGCTGACAGGGAAGGAAATGGCAGTGCAAAGTGGTGGACGCTTGCCCTATGTTACAGAATGAGGATTTCCAAAGAAAACAAGGATGTTGAATCAAAATACAAAAAGAAAAAAAGTCATCACTTAAGAAGATGTCAAAGATATGGAACCAGTAAAGAAGTGGCCTGCCCAAATCCCAGAGACCAGTACCCAGGATGGCCCAGGGCTGGCACCTGCCTTTCGGCGTAAGGCTGGAATCAAACCAGCCCCACCACACAGGCTGAGTGTGACTCCAGTGGCCAACTAAAATGTGCAACCCCCAGAAAGCACTGCATGTGAGCCCAGGAATCATCACAGCAACAAACGGGACAGGAAGGAGGAGGAGGTGGGTGCCAGGAGACAAAAACAGAGTACAGGAAGTAACTTTCATTTTAAGGACACTTGCTGATCTTGTTAAATCAATAGGTGAGGCATCTATTGGGAGATTCCCCAAAATCAATGAACAGAAACCCCAGGTCTAAGGAGATGTACCCTCAGGATTGTGAGGACCGTATGAACCCCATCCCCTTCATAGGTCTGCAGGGGGTGGGGGAATACATTAGGGTGGGGGGGACCAGGAGCATCTATCTGGAGAAAAGGGGACAGGAGGAGGACAGACAGGTCCTCTTGTAAACTGCAGCCCAAATCTGCATCGTCAGAGCCCAAATGAACAAATATCTAGTTCATTTAATTTAGTGTAAAAACGGTTTCATACTGAGACTAACAAGGCACCTGGC